AAAAAAACGAACAGCCTTCGTTTCCTCCGGTTTTTCCTCAGGCTTCGCTTCAGTCGTAGTCGCTGGCGTTTCGGTTGTGGACGTAGCTGCGGATGTAGCAGCTTGGTTCTGATTTTGAGTCTAAACATTCACTTTATGAAAACGATCCCTAACAACCTCAACTTACCGTATCTTCCACTGGGAAATAGGTACTGTAGGTGGGATCCCATGAACACCACTTCCTTGTGTCATTATTGTAATAGTAGCCGGTTTTTTGATCATAGAAGAACTTCGTTTCAGGATCGAGGTAGTAACCGGAATTTTGATCGTACGAGAATGTTGCTGGATTTGGTGTTACTAAATTGAGCATTTTATTAGAATTTAATCAATAAAAGGGTGTAATTTACTGTAAAAAACAAACAATTTAGCCAATTTCAAAACCTACCATATTTCGAAAAAACTCCTCGAGGTGTTGGTGTCAAGCCTATAATACCGTTTACCGGTGTCGGATTAACGACGGCATATGCCGGCTGTGGGGCACCGGGTGCGGCCTGCAATTGTGCAGGATGCTGCATCATCATTGGTGCTTGCATACTCGTGGTTGGGATCATTTGTACTTGTTGTGCCATTGGTGGCATTGCGTATGGATTTTGTGCTGGTCCTGCTGCCATCATTGGTGCTTGTTGACCGTGTTGCTGTTGTTGTTGCATCATAATCAAATGTTGCGGCGGTACGGCGACATTTGGAGGCTGCAAAATAATAAAAGTAGCACCTGGTGAGACGGCAAAGCGATGAATCTAACATTAGAAATAGTTTCAAAAAACCCACCACAACATGTCCTTGTGACTGCCTGAGTGCTGCCATTGCTGCTTGCGCCACTTCAGCACCATGAGCTAAACGAAAAGCCGATTACTGTAACTTAGCGCACCCGACAATTGAAAATCATGAATTTTTCTGAGACTTTGCATAACGGGATTATAAGGCACGCTGATGACAAATATACATAGCCTTGCACGACAGCACCGTTTTGGGTAAGTGAAGATGCGTGGACCAAATTCTCCATTACTCGAATTTTGAAGAAAGAAGGTCCTTCGGTATGCTGACTGCGACTGGTTACCGGTAGGCCTAGAGAACTCTTTTTTCGAAATTGCGTATATAGTATGTGTACATATCTCAATTATGCAAAAAAAAA